TTTAGCTAAAATGACTAAATGACTTGTGACTTAGTCATCAAGTCATTTAGGTCACATCCGGTCATGTGCCAACACTGATATTCAGTGTTCACAAATCTGTTTGCCTTCAATAAGATTTCTTTGAGCTCGATGTCACGATATTGAGTGGCATAACAGATTTATGTGACCTATTTCAGCTATAGTCATGTTGAAATAAAAGCTTATTTACATAATGGAGCAACATTTGTCTCTACTACTTGTTTGGATAAAAAATTAATAGGAACATTTTTTATTGTACATGCATTAAGTAGAATCTGTTTGATGTTGGATTTAATAGACGTTCAGTGTTAAAAATACTCTTAAATGAGTACTAAAAAATGCAGATGATATGCCATTGAATTTTCTGATATAGGAGAGAGAACAGTCCAACTACTTCCTATACAAAACTGCAAAATGTTCAAATGTTCTTGATAAACTTGGAAATAATTCCAATATTGCTCTTGATAGTTTATTTCAAAAAATTTACAAATTTAAAACATAAAAAGATTCACAAAATATTCATTATTATTTATAAATCATAAATCGTGGTATTGAACTGTATTTATTCATTAGAGATAACGCTTTATGATATAATCGAATATCAATCGTTATACTATGTTGAGGCCGAGAGAGTAATGTTGCGAAGATATATTTTAGTTATAGGTTATGATTATCATTCTTTTGTCTTTTATATACTAACTGACTGAATGTTAACTCTCGATCTTTGACTGCTCTTAAATTAATTGATGCGGCATAACGAATGTACTTTCGGTCATTCTGATATCGATTTAATAAATTCGCCCGTTCAACAGCCGCGATTAATATTTTTAAGGGTATTCCGTAACAAAGCCATGGGAAGGAAAAATTTTTATAAAATTTTTGCTAGTATCCAAAAAAGAAATAGCTCTGATATATTCTTTCATAAAATGAGGAAGGACAAATATGTAGCCTAATCGTATTAGAAATCCTTTAAAATAATAATACCAAGCTTCGAAGATATATGGGAACGTTTCCAGTAAAATCAAGTCATGAGGCATAGTAAATCATATGATCCGTAATGTGATTTTACTGGGAACGCTCCCATATGACTAAGTATTTAGTATAACGTAGCGAAATCCACTCTCAGGTAAAGTATTCAATAGTGGCTTCAAATATTCTTCATGAAGAACTAAAGGGTAATAAGACTTCACTCATTAAGCGATCAAAATCGGATAAATTACTGGAACTAATGGAGAGTATATCTTTCTTTTAGTCAAAATATGATGAATCAGTTAAAAGCTACAATAACACTACCAAAAGAGTACCTTGTAAAATTTTATATGGAAGTTGATGAGATTCCTAAATGAGTTTATACCTATCAACATCGGGAAATTATCCTTTGAACTTGAATCGCAGGACAGTGAAACATGTTTTACTCACAATCATTCATTTTAATATATTATACAGATCTAAGCAGAGTAGTTAATAACAGAAGGAAAATATCCATGTAAGAAGTTCCTCGTAAAGCAGCATTATGAGAGGACAAACCCTTTAGAATGAAGCTATAGCGAGTTGTAAATGCTAGTTAGATTAAGATAACTATTACGGACAGCGATCAAACTTGCGATTCCGTTTTGTATAACTGTGCCTCACACCATCAATTATAAATTTACTGCTGATCGATGCCTCATTTTCCTTTTTAGCAAACAATAGAATTCCCCGAAAGAATTTTTATTACCATCCTCCATCTTCTACCTCCTTTTTTTATTTAATAATTATTATAATAGCATGCAGGTGTCGTTTTTATTTCACATATATATATATTTATTTGGCTCATTAATAATAATATTACGGCATAAATATAAGCGCGGTTGACTAATGATTAGTTCATGTGTCGGCAGGGCATGAATCGCTCCTAAAAAAAATTATCTTTCATGCTAGCAGCAAAGTTTCAATTTTGTAGGTGTCAAATTCTTTTATTTGTAAGATTTTATTCACTTAGAAATTTCTTCCCACATTATTATTATTAATAACTGACATATAACCATATGCAACACAACATCAAAATTTTTGATAAACCAATCAAATTTTATCGATTTGAAACGTATTTTTGAAAAATCAGGTTCTCATTTTAGTTTTCGAATAAGTTCTTATTTTTAGTCAATTCTTCTAATGCCCAATTAAAGATAAGAATCTTACTTGAATAGAATTATTATAATTATTCTTTAAATCAGAATTAAAATTACAAAAAAAAAAAAAATCTCGAAAAAATTTTTTATATTTTATTAATAATGAAATTTATGGGGTTTGGTACGAAATCCCAAAGATCAAAATCCCGAAGGGTCATAATCCCGAAGTCATAATCCCGAAAGATCATAATCCTGAAGGGTCAAAATCTCGAATAATCATAATCCCGAACGATCAGAATGACCATAATCCCGAATATTATTTTTATTAAATATTAAAAACATTAAGTATATTTTAAAGAGTTCTATCATGGATTTAACGAGATTTTTAAATTTTTTCTTTTAAAATTTAGCAAAAAAATCTTTATCTTGACTACTTTTTAAAATATTTTTTGCCGACCATCGATAAAAATGGATGAAAATTGCTAAATCATACAATGCATTACCTCAACGATAGAAAGTTTAAAAATCATTAATATGTTGTGTCGTACGAGACAAATCGAATAAGCAAACTAATATTATATAATAATTTTAAATTATAATATTCGGGATTATGATCATTCGGGATTTTGATCTTCGAGATTTCGAACGGTTCCCGAAATTTATATTTGTTTTAAAATGATCAATAAAATAAATTATAATTAATAATTTTTTTTATTTAAAAGACTCCTATAATGCTATTCACGACTTGACCTTAGTATCAATGCCATCAAACGCCTAAAATTTGTTTAATCTTGTATTGCACAATTATTGTAGATCATCTCTTCCAAAAACAATCTATTTTCTTTGTTAAAAATTCAGTGTTCTCCGAAAACCCAAATTTGGTAACGTTTTGTAGATTAAAATTGGGCGAAACTGGTTTCGCCCGAAACAATCAGCCCAGTTACCTAGAATGATTTTTTTGTGGCATATACAAATCAATATGTCAGTAATATCAAATAACCTAGTTCAAGTTCTCAAGTTTAAATTAATTACTTGTATTTGTTGATTATTCCGTATATCATAAACAAACATTACATTTAACAGTTGAATAAACCCTCTTGGGGTGATTGTTTTTCCTAATTCTAATTCATGTCTAGTAATATCATTAATGCCTCGTGAGAATTTTGTTTCGGGAAATGTTTTTTAACCTTTAAAAGATGTAAGCAATGCCATATTCAAGACTTTGCGCCTTTTCTGTAAATTGTATGTATATATATCTCACTATTTGTTTGTTTGTTCTATTAAGTAAAAATTATCTTGTATTATTTCCTAAGTACAAAGATTATAATGTTATATATTAATTACTATTGTTTTAAAACTATTGTTTAAAGTAAGAATTGTAAAGAATTAAGATGTGGCAACTTTAAAACAACTTTCCGGAGCTGACTTGGACTTTTCCATTTCAGGGCACATTGATATTTTCAAAAATCGATATCTTGCATTTTGATTGCATGACGTTACACCTACTTTCTTAATTAGTGAATAAGAATAAGAAAGAAGTGTTTCATTATTTTGGGCCACAAAACCACATAAAATTTTTCTAGAATATAATAACCCCAGTTGGATGATTTATAATTTTTTTTCTTATTTGATTGTCTTTATTCAAATTAAATCATCTTGGAGGAAAGGAGAAAAAAAAAATTTATAAATAAAAAGTCATGACTGATGAAAGAATTTCTGAAGAATTAACCAACGGAGACCAATTATATGGTAATAATTATTTAACCGCAGCAAACGTGACCAATGCTGTTGAAAACAATGAGAATTACAAAAAGAAAAAATCATCGTCGTTTGACAGAAGTTTTTCAATAATTTCAAATCATTCTAAACGTTCAAATGGAGAAGGGAAATCCGCTTTCGATTCCTTATCGACAACTTTTGGAAATATCTTAGGTAGACGACCTTCTCGACAAAATATTATCGTTCACAATGATGATACAGTTGAACAAAGTAGTCCCAAGGAAAGATTCGCTTCCAATGTTGCAATTAGTCCGGATGGTCAATATGTGGCTACATTTAATTGTAGTAAGTTATTAAAAAAAAAATTTTTTTTTATTTTTTATTTGTTTATTCTTGCTTATTTCTCGGATTATGAAAAAGGCGTGAAAATCTTATTAAAGTTTCGAATTATGTTTAGAAATGCTCGAATTCAAGATTTTTAAATGCGATACGAGACATTATTTAGATAGAAATAAGGAAGAAACAATCATCGAAAATTATGTAAATATTCCAAATTTAAATCGTGATACCAATCGAGATTCTAAATCATACAAAATACATCAAAGTATATTCAAGGACTATTTGCAAGAGGGAAATTTAAAAAAAAAATCAAGCAATCTTTCCACAGAGACAACGAATCAACAAGACAAAAGTGAATACAGAACATTTCCTACTTGGTCAGTTGCGATTTCAAATCTCATGGAACATAATTATGAACTTGTGATGTTTATAACAATCTCCGCTATCGTTGAGGGTGATATGATAAAAAAAGAAAACGAGGTTCCATTACCAAAGGTCAAATCGTCATTACCAGATAATATAGATTATTCCGCGGTAGATTTTGATAACAACACCACAATAAAGAATAAAAGGATTAATAAACCAACTTCCAGCGAGGATATGCAACAGAATACCGTCGCAGAAATCAAAAAAGGAAAAACTGCCGTGTTTCGAATTACATTTAACAAGTCAAATCCTAATTTAATTCAGTCCCCTTGTTTAATCTCAGAATATACCGACGAAAATATTGCTGGCATCGTTCTATTTGTTCAAAGCGATCAAACTGATCCTGATTTTCAAGAGGATTTGACAAGGAATGACATACTTATGAGAACAAGTTGCTTGATTATTAATGCTGAGGGAATTTTTAAGATCCCATATAGTCAAAGAAGTAATGAAATTTTGTTTAATTACATTGGTACACAAACTCGAGAAAAATTTTCATTTCCAAAAAGGTTCGATAAAGAATTGCAAACGTGGTATAGATCAAAAAATTGTATGGAAAGGCTTCTTTCGTGTATTTATTCTCATTATTTTCTAATCGAACAATACAAGGATGGAGTCCAAACATGTGAATTAATAAATTTAGTAGCAATGGAACAAGAACAAATATTTTCTAGATATGAAAATTCTGGATCTCATAGTTTAATAAATTTGAATATCACTTCGGTTTTCGCAATTTCAAATAATCGTCAACTTCTCGCATTTTCCAAAGGTCTGAATTCTGTCAATATCAAGTAAGATAAATTTCATTCCCTTCTTGACCAATTTATAATTTTATTCGGTAAACTTAAACTAATAAATTCTAAAACGATAGTTATATTGAAAATGGTCTTGAAGTTGGCGTAAAATCGTTTGGAACTGACTGTAAAATTACATTTATAGAATTTATCGATGATGACGAAAGGATACTATTAGTTACTCAAGAAGAAATTTATGAAGAAGTTTCAGTCGAGAAATTATTAGATAAAGATAAAAAGAGTGAAATTAAAAGCAAGAAACCCATGGAAGTAGTAAGAAAAGTTACAAAAATTATAATTTGGGACTTGTTTAGTTCGTCGGAAGATGCAATTCGTATAGGACCTTGTGGTGATTTGTTTCCCGCACGAAAAGATTATTATTCACATTTAGCCAAAGTACCGGGGCAACTTTTAAGAATGAAAAATGACGGAACTGTATATTCAATCCTAAATCATGATGATTTCTTATTTCATGTAGCAGGGGAAGAGAAGGATTTAACACAATCTTTTGGTTGTACGTTGTTTAAATCTGGAAATGTAACTTGGAAACAAGCCGAACAAATGCCGATGCAATATTCAAAGCAAGAAATGCACTCAAAATTACATAAAATCTTTCGACGTCAAAAGCCAATTAAGCAGTATAATAGGCCGATCATTGAAAATACAGAACCATGGGTGGATTCTGATAATTATTGTAGACAGTCAATTTATTTGGATGAACAAGAGACATTACAACTCATTATAGGACATAGCACAGTACAAATTTGGCGCAAAACATCAAAGTTTGACAAAAAGGATAAAAAAGTAAAGTTTGCATCTACCTCAAGATCAGAACCTATCCTTGAATATGTTTGGACAAATGGCATTGCTTTGGAATATGATTGTGACGATTCAGCATTACATATTCAAGAATTATGGATAGGAGATAGCGCGTTTTCACTTACCCTCGTATGGGATGATGGTGAAAAGGTAGACATGAAACATATTCGCTGGCCATATCCAGATGGCCAAGTATCTGCTGTGAGACATGCGTGTGAAGCACTGGAACATCTAAACATTCGAAAGAGAAAGTTAATTGATATAAAAAAACAATGTAATTGTTTATTTTAGTATAAATTATTCATATATGGAATTCTTTATTTTTTAAATCAAAAATAATTTTGTATTTTTGTAGATCAATATGAGGAACTAATTGAAGGCACAAATCGCATCATTTGGAGATTCATTAAAAAGAGACCAGAGGTCTGGAGACTAATGGATATTCGATTTAATGTGATGGCTAATTTAATTAATGGTGGCGCTACCTATTTGATTAAGTTTATACTTTTTGGTGAAGAATCTGATGAAATTATAAAAGATAAAAAGCATTCGAAAAAACATGAAGCAAATAAAAATAAAAACAAACTCTACAATAATAAATTGACATTACATATACCAAGAACAAAAAAATGGTTGAATGATGATCCAATATTAAAAAAAGAGTGCCATCGTAAACCTTTTAAGATCTTAAAGGCATTAATTTATCCTTTGATATGTCTTTTTAATATATTTACTTTTGGATTCTATAAACCAAAAGATGAGCCCAATGACAAAAAGGGCAAACAGGTAGAGGTTCATAATACAGACTTGGAATGTGCAATCGAATATTGCAAAGGTATTATTTTATTTTATGCGTTATATTTTATTATAAGAATTTTACTCAAAAATTATTTTTGATAACAATTTATAGGGAAAGAAAGGAAAGATGCAATCATGGTTGGATATCTGTTAGAATATTATTCGGAAAATTCAATTCATCATTTTGGATGGATGATTACAATTTCAAAAGCTCTGCCATTATTATATAGAAACAATTTAGGTATAAGCGATTTCTTAGAATCGACAATTCTAATTTGAACAATTTTTAATAATTTTTTAAATTTAGATTATTATGTGAAAGCATTACTTTATAAAGAATGTTTCGCTGATATGGAATTAGGAACCGAATATGACACTACTGAGATAATTCCTGAAGAACGAAGGCCTCGAAGAAATAGAGCTCAAGATTTTGTCGCATTCAAGCCGATTACCAAACTAACATCTGATCAAAATAACAAACCAGCACTTCAAATACTTTGGGAATTTGCCACAATTAAATTACCAAGATATTATACGGATTTTATTGATAATTTCGATGTTGATCTAGAGCCTCCACCTATAGCTTTAAGAGTTGTTCCGTGAGTTGCATCTTTGGTTTGTCATTGATCACCCATTCTTTTAAGATTATTAAGCTTTTTAATGATTTTTAGGTTACCAAATTTCACAGTTGATAATATTCCAAAACCAGTTGTAAAATATAATTGGAAATCAAATTTATTAAGATTGTTAAAAATTCTTATAATTCCTCGAGGATATACAATTGGAAGAGATGATAAAAGATTGTTAAGTCCATTTGTTCAGGTAGTTAGATATGAAATGGAGAATGATATATTCGATAATCCGGCAATGGAAGCTATTATTGATTTTAGATGGAGGCCAGCAAGAAACTACTTTCTACAATTATTTGCAGCATTTTTCGCATATGCTGTTTGTTTTGGAATAATTAGTGCAGCTTATATGTCAAACTATGAAATTACAGGAGGTTTGCAAGTACTTTTAATACTTGTAATGGCATGCTTTTACTATTTGGCATATTATCTTATAGCGGTTGAAGTTTTGCAACTATTACATCACGGATGGAGAGATTATTTGAGTATAATTAATATGTTTGATATATCCGCAGTTGTTTGTCCCGCAATTGTCATGTCAATATTTGTGGCCAGTTCTTTTGAACTTTCAGATGGTTTCGGTAAAGTAGAAACTAGTACCGGTGTTGTTGTTGGAATATCTTTTACAATGCTATTAATCTGGTGTGAAATGGTATGTAAACAAATAATCATTGAAGATGTTCTTTGAAATTCTTTATTTTATTTAATTTTATACTTATACAATCCATTTATTTAGATATTGTATCTCAGATTATTATCAGGTTTTTATAAATTAAATTGAGTTAAATAAAAAGTGTGAAAGCATACATTAAAAATCTTTTCTTTTAATTTCAGAAATGGCTATGTATATTTATTTTATTATCATTATATTTAAGACTGGTAAGGTTGTTTTTATATTTTAAAATTGTAAACTATATTCTTATTAATATTATATATGCTTTATGTAAATCTAGTTTGGCCTTATTACCTTTTCATGATTATTTGTTTTATTGGTTTTGCACATGCACGTAAGTCAGTTTTTCTTCAAAATTAGATATATCAATTAAGATACTTCATTTAACTTTTCCCTTTTTCCATAGATTTTTTATTACTGCAAAATCCCAATTTGAATCATTTGGCACCGGACGTTGATGGTTACACATTAATGAATTCGACAACAAACGAACCATTGGGTGTTAATGTAGTATCAGACTTTAATGCAACATCAAATAATGATAATCCCTTTTCAAATATTTTGACATCCATTCAAGCAGCGTATTTTTGGGTGAATGGTGAATGGAGTCAAAGAGGTATTTGGGATTTTTGGGCGGTCGATTTCATGTCAGTATTAGCAAGTCTTGTATTGGTTACTGTATTGCAAAATATGTTAATTGCATTTATGGGGTAAGTGATGACAAATTTTTTTTCACGTATTATACCGTACGGTTAAATTGTTAATTAATCCTATTTTTAATTTAGTGGTGTTTATGAGGAAGCTGCAAAGAAAGGAAGGGACGCATTATTAAGATATAGAGCGGATCTTATTTCTGATTATGAAGCGTTAGAAGATATTAGATTTTGGCCACCCGAAACGGATCCAACTTATATCTTTTATGTAGGACATTCAAAGAGTTTTGATGAATGGTCTGAAGGGAGGAAAGAATTTAGAGGATGTATTTACGAAAGATATGAAACCAAAGCATCATATAAAAAGTATGATTTTAAAGATGATATTTATGATGAAACTTCTTTGATGAAATATGAAGCAGACAAAGTCACACAAAAAGACACTAATAATGAAAGTAACTCTTCTACATCATCACAAGTGGATGAACTATATAAGGAATTTAAACAAAGTATCAATAATGTTAATGAAAGGTTAGATTTAATGGATAGGAAAATTGATACCAAAATGGCAGAATTAGAAAATAATATTCAAAATTTTATTAGACAAATTTTAGAAAATAGATAAATATTTATAAAATTAATTTATTCTCGAATGTACATTATGATAAAAAATTTATATCAAAAATAAAAATAAAATTTGTATTTTACATAATTTCTAATTAAAATCTTTAAATTTTTGGCCGAAAAATTAATCTCGACTTGGAGAGGTAAAATCTACAATATAACTAACAAAATTTTCTATATTTAAAATGTATTACAACTAATAGAACAAATTATAATTGAATGATTATGAATACATAAAAGATAAAACTTCTTAGAAACACGATGCTTTAATGTTAATAATGCATATTTGCATATGAATGTGTTTAGCATATTAAGATAGTTAGCCAATTATGGTTGCTGTCCAAATCGAAAGTTATATTAAAAATGATTTATAATTTATTTGTGTTTTTCTTTTCAACAATATCACTTTATTGATATATTTACCAAAAAAAAAGAGAAATCCAAACATAGATCGTACTTATATCAACTTTAATCCGTATTCTAAAAATTTTTTGTTCTAATTTAATATTCTCCTAAATATTAATTACTTTTTTCTAATTATTATCCGATCCGATTAACTAGAATAATTTTAGAAGAAGGGGATTCAATTTTGTTTAAACTATACTTGATCGTGGTTAATGTATGTCATCTCGATGACACCCATGAGAAAGAAAATTCCGGACGAAAATATTTGGATATCAATGCGATAAATATTGCGCATTACCTTTTGTAAAGTGATTTCATTAAAACTCTAACTAGTTATTTTTATCAACAGGTTCATATGGTAATAATTGATTAACAATATTGAAAATTTGTTGATTAAAGAGGATAAAAAAACTTTTATAAGGTTTGTAGGTAGAATGATAGCATTATTATAATCCTGTCGTAGATTTGTGTTTCTCAAAATGTGGAAAAGCTAATGGATCTAATCGTGAAGCGACTCCATAATTTGTTTTTTTATGAAATTGAACTTATAACTCATACTCGAATTATTTGTCTTATTCTTTCTTTCAGTCATGAATCTTTAATGAGACCTATCAAAAATAAAAGCACTTTCATGACTTGAAATGTTTCGAGAATGAACGCCTTTTATCATATCGAAAATAAAATAATTTTTAATAATTTATGTACAGTCGCGTCACAAAGAAATCGATTTGAAATTATATAGTAAAATGTACATAAAAAACTTTTTATAAATTTTAAAACTAATTAAAATTTAAGGGTTTAAGTCTCTGCAAGATAGTAATCATTTTAAAAAATATGACTTATTGACATTCAAATGTAATAAAAATTTGGAAATAATTTTAACAATTGTATATATGGTTTAGCAATTTATATTTTTATATTTAAATTTTCGTTATAATAATAGACAGAAAAAATGAATATAAAATTTTTTCAACTTTTATAATTAAAGTAGCTCGTGCAGCTTGAGTCTAGGACTCCTCTTGGTTTATTTTTTGAAAGTACATTTGATTAGCCATAGAATAATATATATTTAAGTGATAACTGTAAAGAATTATGCAAATATTATATAGCCTTATAAATGCACATTCCAAGTATATAACGATCATACAAAATATACAAAATTTTCTCTTTAATGCACAATTTTTCAAATTTTCACTATGGTCCAAAGGGGTGGTCTCACTATATATAATTATTCTAAGAATAAAGTAATGATAAGAACTATTAAAAGTATACTAAATTATGTATTTTGACTAATTTTATCACCAGTTTTACCATAAATTAATCTTATACATTTATTTATCGTACATTCATACGATATGTCCAATAATAAGCTCAGCACTACATGTCGAGTAACTATTACATATATTACATTATAATTATTTGAAAATAATAATGATTCGATTTTTAACTCAAATTTATTACAAGTTCTTTAATTACATTTAATATCCAAAAGGATGTCTCCAACATCGAGTTAAAATTATTATCACATTAGTAAAAGGCTTAATTAACAAACATTAATAATGGTGATCATACCGTGATTTTAATGCCATTCAAATCTTCATCATCTCAATAATTATATCATGATCCATAATTAATAAATTAAACTACGTCAGTAACGGCAAATTATGATGTCATTTACTATTATTTTTTAAATGACCTTGGTCATTTTGACTTGAAATATATAATAAAAATGAGGTTATTTGAGGTCAATTCTGCAAACACTGCTTACGTATCTATTATTCACTATGTTCCGTAAGATGATTTTAATAGCCGAATACCCATGTCGTGTCGTTAGAAATAATTTTGGCGATAGATACAAATAAACTGTAGAAATTTTCTGAAAAAGCGAAAACAAAGATATAATATAGCGACTCCCACCTTTGAAAGCATCGTTTTATTCCATATTATATTATTAATTATTTGAACTTTTTAAAAATAAATTTCTTGGCAAAAAAATTATTATAATTTGTCACAATCAAATTCATAAAATCACGAGAGCAATATTCAGAATGAAGAAAAATTGCAAATGCATGGACGGTATTTTACCGCGTTAAAAGTGATAATACGCATATTACGTAATATTGCGTCAGTTTTGCATTTCTTATATTGTTGCAAAATATTATTCACATATGACCTTCGTTTCTCTTTAATTTAAGACGTTTTCCTTAATATTTGGCCTCAAAAGTTTTTCTTCAAACATACAGATATCTAGATTGAAACAAACGACCCGCGTTCTGTTATAGTGTGACACGGGTATAAACAGTGCAACACGTGATACTGGGGAGATCACAGATATATAGTCGCGTCGCGTATCAAACGTTTCTAGATATACAAAAAACTCTGCTTCATTAAAAATGTCCACTTCTTAAAAATATTACGAATAATATAACATAACACTGGCTTTTTTTAAAAACATAACAATTTGATTTTTATGGATAGAATTTTTTTCAAACAAGAAATCTTGGTCTCTATTAGAATACCTAAATTATTGTCAAGATAAAGGACTTATTCAGAAAAAATTCAAGGAATTTTTACTTTACTCAAGATGTCTAAAATTTCTGACTTTATACGCAGAAAATGAAGAAGTAAAAAAATTTGCAATACGTTGTCAAAATTCTTTTAAAGTAAGTAATTTTATTGTTGGTATTTAATAACTAGTCTGATTAATGGAGGCATAGTTGGTATCAACAGTGCTGTACCGGCCAGGATTAGTGGAGTGGTGCTGTATTGATTACTTGCATTGTTGATCTAGAAGGATCATAGTGCTGTACCGGCTAGGTTCATAAACAGTGCTGTATTGATAAACTTGCATAGCTGATTTAGTGGAGGAGGCATAATTGGTATCAACGGTGCCAGAACCAATGGTGTTAAATCCATCAATTAGTTGCTTATTTATATTTATCTAACAAGTTCTTCTATATGTTAAGACGATATTAAAGTTGCAAATATTTCTGAGTTCTGGAAATTGATCGAAATTAAACCAACATCAGGTGGTAGGAGAAGGAACAATACAATAACGAAAGACCACCATACAAGCATTATGAATTGTATGTTCGAAACTTAATATTTATAAATGCACTTGATTTTCCATGGATTGATCGGTCATTAATTGATATAGAGTTAGAACAATTGATGACTTACAAAGAAATATCGCCATCTCTACCTAATTTTTTTTTTTGGAAAAGCTAGAAGCGGTGGTATTTATTATAGTCCAAAATTAGCAATATTATTTACGCTTTAAATATTAACTCCACATAAACTATTCTTATATTTTAGAATAAATTATCTTGTTATGAATTAGAATAATGGTCTCGTAAAAAATATTTTCGCAGATATTAATTGGCCAGTTCGATCTTTAATCGTGAATTCTCATCACTATAAAATATATTTCTGGTTCGTTGAGCTGTTTATTGTAATTTCTAGCAGTTTTTTCTAACAAAAATTTATCATTTTCGAAGTCTCTAATAAAAGATACTAACTGCGGGCAACGTAAAATCGAGATAAGTTGGTGATAAAAAATTCTACCGCAGTGTTATATACTATATTATGCGCTATTGCTATGTCCGCAGACTTGTTGGGCGTGAATTCTTCCGAAGTCTTGCAAATATGGAATTAGTCAATAAACTCTTTCAATTAATCACGTGATTATCTTAATTGTTCACTATATTATACATTCTTTGTTGCGAAAAAAAACTTCAGATAAGGCAAAGGATGTGTACAAAATTTTTACGTGAAAATCATTGCGAAAATTTATGGGGATAAGGCATTCAATAAGAAAGTTCCCGGCATTTTTTGGCATTGCAAGGTTTCATAAAGGTTTATTACATAATTGGAAATTTTATAACTATGTTAGCTTCATTTTTTTAATATTTCTAAATAATATAGTTTATTAAAATAATTTATTTTCGGTTGACCAATTCTAATATTTGAATGAATGTTCCTTCTATATTAATCCAAACTGTAAATCCTCATTATTGGTGTAGAAAGAGGAAAGAAATTAAAAAAACTCCATGTATTATAAGTTCTTTGACACCACGACAAATTTCATTATAACCAATTTTTTACCATAAAGAATATAAATTGCTCCAGCTACCACATCAAATTGTCTGCGCTCATAACTATCTTTATATTTGAAATCATGCTACGATTTTCATGATTTTTTTTCTTAAAAAAAAAAGAAAAGGACTGGGGATAGTTGCATATATTAAATTTCCAATTATAATTCCTAAAGTCTAAAAAATACCGCTTACGTTGTGATTGGTTCATTCAGTGTTTACAAGGTTGTACAAAAATTTACCATTTGTAAAATGTATAAATTCTTGGTTAAAAGAAAAAGAAGGATGCCATAAGTTGAAATTGTAGTGAAATATTGAATAAAATCATAATTAAGTTCTTTGAACGGAATCTATAGTTAAAATTAAGAAACAGGGTGCAACATTTGTTTAATTGTCACGCTTAAGCATGTTAGCTTTAATTAAACTAATTAAACTAACAAAGCCTCCAGCATACGTCAATAGATTCTTTCAAATATGTTAATGCCTTAAACCTTGAATATAA